TCCAAAAATCCACTTTTGGCTGGGGTCAGGTACTGTGCTAAAGAGACCTTTAGTATGACTTACTGTGGATATTCTTATATTCATTACCAATGTAGGTATTTTGAACAATATACTTCTGTGGCTAGCACACTCAGTAAGAGATGATTTTCTTTAAAAGTAATACAAATCCTGTCTGAAAATGTCACGCTCAAGCCAAAACCTCAGGGATATCATGATATACCTTTTTGCAATTGCAATTATAGTGCTACCAAGCAGAATAGTTTGAAAATCTTTACCAATTTGCTGAAACAAATGAAAATTATCTGAGTTTAGAAGAAAGTTGGTGCCAGATTCAGCAACACAGTGCCGAGATACAGCTGAAGCACTGCTTATGAAGAAAAGCAAAGAGAAATCTACTGCTGCTGCTGAGTCTTTGCAGTAAGCTCAACACAGCTTGAAGGAACTGTGGAAATGCATTCTTAAAAGTATGCATTATACTAATGTAAAGATTCTGTCACTACTAAAATAAAGACAAGTCTTTCTATTAGGAACTATCTCTATTAGTAAAGTGAAGAGTGATAGATCTCATTCTTTGGTGATAAAGTCAACTAGCATGGTCTGGCTATGCCCACATTATCAACTGCCTTTATGTGACCACAACTGTGACCACATCCAGAGCATCTGCCTGTTGGGAATAGTTTCTGGCCTGTGCTAACTCATATACTATGTCTGAGAGTCATGGGGGAAAATTTTCCTTTGTGTAGGTCAAAGGCACACCGAGGATAATGCCAGGAGCTTCACAGGATGGGACATCCATTTCCATCTCCCCCATCCCCCAAGTACCATTTACTGGTACAGAAACAATTTTCAGTTATTTTATTACCCAAACCCTTGCAAAACCAGAAATGGCAACAAAAATTCTTACAATACTTTGTAGATTGTCCAGCAGGCCTTTCTAATGACCAGAAACATGCCACTTAGCATCTATATCCTTTTTATTTTTAAGTCCTTACGGTTAGCGCTAGCAAAGGGAAAGTTCTATTAAGAAAGCCCACAGTTCCATCAGAACAAAGTTGCTACAGTAATCTAGATAGAGGCAACAAAATATTTTAATGCTCTGCTAAACATATGGCAGCAACACATTTTTCAGAACTGAAAAGAAAAATAAGAGAAACCTCTCAGAGTAACACACTAATACCCCAGTTCCTTCACATTTCATGGTCAGGGTCATGTTGTTTAATACCAATCATGCGGAAAATGTTTAAAATGAGGTTTATTCGTTGAGACCCCTTACTGATAAAAGAATAATGACAACTTTAACCTTTAATTCCTTTGCCAACTTCAACTCCAACTTCAGCTTGTGGCAAAACTACTCAAAAACCCACCTGTTAAAAACCTGCCACAAAAGTAGGCAGATCAGGTTGCATTCCAATATGTGAGTGAGTAGAAGATGAGCACCAGACACAGCAAACAGAAACTAACCTTTCGAGGATCGGAAGTGCTTGCTGGGTGCTGTGAAGCCTCTTGTCCCGTGCACATTCACAGCTGCCACGCGGAACTGGTACCATCTGCTTGCTCGGATGTCTGGCAGTCGAACCCGCTCATCTGTAGTCTGTGGGGAAAATGTCACTCTTACACTCATTGTTCTGACATGGCTAGTTGTGCTATCATCTCCCACACAACACCAGTTAGTCAGACTGAAGGTGAGAGGACGCACTTCTTTAACATACACCAGTTTAAGCAGGCTGTGTGGAATCACCTCATCTGACTCTGACTCTGTACTGCAAAGCATTTACAGCTGTCAACAAAACCCTGTAACCACCCAATTTTACAGTGCATTGTAAGTCTCTTTCCGAAAAAAAGTAATCTTTAGAAATTCGGTGAAGTGTTAAACTCACAAAATTAGTTTTCCTATTATCACAACCTCCACCAGTGTATAGGACCTAGCTGCTCAGGTGTTGACATTTCAGGGAACTCACTGCCCCAGGTCACAGGCCTCATTTCTCCATTTCTCAGTTCTCAGAGAATTAGGAGTCCAAAATGGCTTCACAAAATCCAGCTCTATAAGAAGCTGCTTTTTCTGGTTCATAGGAAACACGAAAACTTCAGGTAATGAATGTAAGCCTTTTTCAGATGTTTGGCACTTATGTCAAAAAGACACTCACAGCCTTATCTCTTCCCTGCAGACCATTCTCAGGTCATAGGAGATGACCTTTTCTCCAACACCACCCACTGAGACTGCTAGTGTCATAAGCTCAATTTCCACCTTCTGTGGGGAGTGCCTTAACTGCTGAAATATGGAATCAGCATAGATGCACTCTGAACCCTTTCAGAAAGAGATGCTTTACGTACTCTTATTCTGAAGCCTGCTTTCCTCCATCTTTTTTTACCCTTTAAACAACTTCTTCTGCATTTTGTTATTTTTCCTAATGTACAAACACCAATACTGAACACAGCCTCCTGGTAACCTCTGAATTACTGCCAAGTACAGACGATGTAGCATTTTTGTAGAACTCATCAGAAACTCATCCACTTATTGCATATTTTACTTTTGCAATTACCTCTCAATTATGGAAACTTCAATTTACTTTAGGATGTCATGTCTATTTCATTTTAATTTAATTCTCTAATCAAAATAACACATGAACCTAAACCAAATGTCCTGTATATGCCTAAATATACTATACAATCATTACTGACCACACATGCAAGCTCATGAAACATGTAGTGACATCAATTTATTTTCCATAACTTCAAAAATCCATCTTCCTTGCATAGGATTCAATGTTACCTGCAATGATGCCAAGCACTTCCTAAAAAGGGCAGAGCATAATTTCTGCTTTTTGCTCATTCCAATCTGTGTAAGAAAGTAGCAGCTGCTGACCTCAGATAGCCAGAACTTGAGGAAGTTGCTTCAGCTCTCTAGCAATGGTATTTTTAGAGACCAGACTAACAAAATTTGTAGGTGTTATCCTGCATTTAATCTTTTCATTTGGTGAGAAGCAAAATTTAGGGAAACAGCCATCTTGTTTGTGTGTGCATGTAAAGAAAGAATACATTTTCTAAATTGCACTGTTGACTGCTCTCAGACTGGTAAGCATTGCAGATTTTGAGCCCCTCACGTATTGCTCCTACTCAGAGTCCTTATCCATTCAGATCACTGTATTTGTCTTTTTAGCTTTAGCAGGGGAAACAGTCCTGATGCTTTCATTGTCTGCCTCATTACTTCCTTTTTTTAGCTTTGATGTTACCTGTAGAGTGAATTATCTTGTCCAATGAAGGAATTCCCCTAGGGAAGAAGGAGCTTACCTTTTACTATTATTTTCATTTTATGAAGCACTCAAACGTGCTAGTTTTTTTCCAGGATGCAGGCCCATATACTCAAGAACTTACAGAAAAGAACATGACAGTAAACTAGAGTAAAATAAACTATCACTATATTAACAGAAAAAAACCTCAGGGATACATTCATGCTACTGCTGTAACTGAGATGAGAGTCAGGATCAATATCTAATCGTAATTAATTAGTTACCACACTGTGGGCTTTTCCAAACAGATTTGCTGAATTTAATTACAAGGCAAGCATAATCTGAATAGACTTGACCCCAAATTTCTCAGCTAAGGAATCTTGTTTGTCATTTGCGTCAGCTCAGTTATTCTGCTAGGACTGATAAAAGAAAGGATTTCGGTTGTGTCAGTCTTCTGTGGCAACCGTGAAATACTGTAAGATCAAATAATCTGCCAATCTATATCACCAAAATTATTTTAATTTATGAACATGCCTTGGGCCTATTCCTTTCATCATTCATTTTGTTGGCAAAGCTCCTGTTAAACTCAATGGCACGCAGGAGGTTTAACTCCTGCATTTGAGTATAAACTACTCTGGCATCTCTAAGCAACCTTTATATAGATCTAATAGATTTCAAGAAAGAGATACTACTGAGATATCTTATACTATCTTAATAGTAAATTGATTTTCTCTGTTTGATTGCTTCGGTTAGATCTCACTACTTAAGTACATTTGGAGCTGAGATCATAATATTCAGAGTCCTTACAATATCTGTCTTATATCAATGTAAGCCCACTAAATGGTATTCAGAATGGTACTACAGTAATCAATGGGCTGTTTCACTGTGTTTATTCCCTTTGTTTCACACTTCCAATCCTGGATTTCCTTTGCAGTGCAAAGGTTTAATGGAAATACGAGAGGACAGCCTTACTCTGTTGAGCTTATAGATCTACACCTTCTTTAGAAAAAACACACAGTCGTAAAAGAACTTGCAGTTCAGAGGGTGCAGGGATACCATCCAGGATATCAGAAGAGCTGCGTTTATGTTCCCTCTGCTACAGAAGAAACCTGGCAGTGCTGCATCCACTACTCTATCAAAGGACAGCAGATCTCCCCTATTTTGAGTGAATGCAATCGCACACAAGGCGGGTGCTCTCAAAGAACACTTACTAAAGCAAGCCCTCTCCTGGGAGATGGAGAAATAAACCTTTACTGTACAGGACTGGTGGTTAGCTTCAGCAGGGATTTTGCACTGTCAAGAGCTGAGAAACTTTTTGTGATCCTCAGAACCAGAACTTTAGGTGCCTCAGAAACTTTAAGTTGTAAAGAAAATTAGTTGACCACAGTTTAGACAATTCCAAGGTGAAGAACTAAGGTTTGTCACAATGAAGTTAGCAGTAAATACAGCTCCTTATGTGTTTTAATAAAGGAATAAATTAATAAGAAATAAATTAATAAGTAAAATTCATTCTTGTCTGTCTGTATGTATACATATATATACATGTGTGTGTACATATACATATATACATACATACTTGACATCCATTCGCACAACAGAGCCACGTGTTCCATATGAATATAACTGACCTGGCATATTTGAATTAACTTCATTAATTTACTTAATGCGATAAACTATCTAAGTTTCCATTGTAAACCTCAATATGATTGTTTTTAGAAAGCATTAACACCACACAGAATTATATAAGTCTGTTCACAAGATATACAGTATTCTAATGGGATAGTGCAGCAGGTCCTGCTCAGCTGGCTAAACTTTAAAAAACAGTAGTGTAAGAAACTTGGCAAAACCACTTGGGTCACTGTACATCATAGCTAACTAGGCTAACTAGGATCTTTGTTCCAGTAGTTTTTATGTTAACCAATGGAAATTAGTCAAATGGTTAGTTATGCCAAGTTTTCCCAAAAACATGCAGTAAAAAAACTACAGTTAACAAAATCCCTTCTCCATGAAGTGAAAACTAATTAAAATTGTTTTCAATGTGTTTGCTTTCTTTATATGCTTGGAGAGTGAAATGAATAGTGTATTAATAGGTTAAGCCTTTCTCCTTAAAAAGAAAACATAATGAGAAAATGAGAAACATGAGAAATTACTTGCAAATTAGCTCATGTAAAAGCCACAGAAAGCAGCAATTTTTTTAAAAAGTAAACAACTTAAAATAAAGTTACTGAAAATTATGACCCCATTTCTTCTTGGACCAATAATAAAAATAGAATATTAGATGAGGTATTCTGATAAAATATTATGAAATTTCTTAAAGGAAGCTGCAAATAACCTTGCATAATTACACTACATATGGGCATAGTCATAGAGAAATTCAGATCCTCATCCACAAACTTTCTGATCTTTCACTGCTTTTTATGTGCTCTCTAGCTTAAGTCACAGAGTAATGAAAGAGCCAGCATCATCTCCCCTGGAGTGAGATGCTCCAGGAGTTCTCAGCTGAATGGCTGAGCTCTTCGCAGCCTTTGCCTATAATTAACATCTCATAGCCCAGTCTTTTAGAATCATACAAGAAAAGAAACTCAGTTATATGAACAAAAAAAGCCCAGAGGCTGTGCACACAGTCACCTCAGTCAAACTGGATATCCATCCTTGTTGCTGATACTGCAAAATAAATCCTATTGCATGCAGCCACACTTAACAAATTTGACCGCCTGGTGGGATGTCTAAAACCACAAATGCCATGGAGGTAAATTACTCCATAGAGATAGAAACTCTGATTACAAGCACCCCTCAAGGGTGCCCAGCCTGTATGTCCCATAAGGTATACACAGCTCACAAAGCCAGTCAGGCATCTTGAAGCTTATTCTGAACTGACATCCCCAGTGGGGTCCATCACACAATCAAACACGCGTCTCTTGTGAATCAGAAGGGACGGTGAAGTTCTCAGAAAGATGTCAGTCAGAGGAGGCTTCTCCTGCCACAGAGATTAACTCAGCCCCTTCTGCCTGCATGTAACACACCCCCAGGAAAGGCAGCTGTCAGGATTCTTATCACTCTTGCATAGAAACACATTTCTGAAACACTCTCCTGTACCTCCACTGCAAGAAAGTTTGTATATGCTCCACTACTGTAGAACATATATAGTCCATGCTTCCAGAAACACGCATGAAGTCTGTTTTTGGGATTAAAAAAACCACCACAGTGCTACCTTTGCAGTCTGGATCCACTAGCCAGAAAAGCTGGGCTTCTACAGTCTAGCACATATACACAGCATGGTAACATGAGGAGTAATTCAGATCTGGCTGATTCTTGCTACACAGTATTTTCCTAGAAGCGAAGGCAGGAGGTTGTTTGCTGAATACAGAGAATGCAGATTTAAGATCTGCACCCTAGATGAGAAGTCATTGCAAATTTATCAAGTTTGGAAGTGTGCACATTCCCTTAGGCTTGCACAAGCAGATTTTCATGTCAGGTTCTGCTGTAGATTACTTTTTCTGAGGAAGACTCTAACATAGTGTCAGCCCCCTGTAGCACCACACTGAAGCTAAGAACTTCACTTCTGAAGGTGCAGTTTCACAAGCTTGACATTACTTTAAGATAGCTTTTTCCTACACAATCTGAATTGAGAATGAACACAGATTGCCACAGAATTTAAACTCCTTTATTTTGTGGATGGTTCTAATTATTCTCTCCTGTTTGTTTGTTTGTGGTTTTTTTTCTAGCTATACTGACATTTTGAGGGTCTTTTCAAAATCAGCATTTTACTTTTCTTGTAAGCAGGGATGAGGATGAAGCAGTTAAGATAAACGACTGGAACTCTGCCATCCAGGTAGACTGTCAGCATGTTAAAAAACAGATTGAAACTAGGAAGGAACTAAGTGAAAATTTATGCTCTGTTGGCTGCTTCTAATTAAGAAACATTTACTCGTGAATCTTATATTTTTGTTCTGGATTGCACTGAGTGATAAGACCATGATATCATAGTCTTTTCTGAATTGGGAGGGCAATATCTGAAAAAACTTCAAAAGGAAGAAAGGTTTTAGTCATTTTTTCAGACTTTTTTTTTAATAAATATCTTTTTCAGCAATAGTATTTCTTACATTTTTTAAGACCCAAGCCATACCTTGGAGACTGTGCACTGAGCCCCACTGACCTCAAAAGGACTATGTCTCTTCTGTGCTTCCTTCAGTGGATTTTGGTATCTAATTCTACAATTTTCAAAAGATTTGTGGCTTTCAGAGACTTTGGAATTCCCAGCTGAACAGATCATAAGTATGTGCTTACAAGAAAGTGCCATTCACTGGCATTATGAAAATCAAGCCTCCAGCTAGTTTTATAGATTTTTATCTATAGAGAGCAAACCCATAAAATAAACTCATTTTGAAAACATAAACCTCTGAGTACCTTTTCTTTTGGGGACAAGGAAACCCCAAACTATTTCCTTCTTTACTGATTAATTTACAGATTTTTTATGAAGTCCTTTTCCATACATACCAAAAGCATTTGATGTTTCTGTATCTGAAAATACTGCAGTTCATTTCCCCCAAGTAAACCTAGAAAAAGGTTCATTGAGCAATGAAGTGAAGCCTTGGAGATCTGGATTCTGTTTGCATCTCTGCCTTGACTTGGAAAGACACCCTATAAAGGGATCCCTCTGCATGAGCCTCCCCATCTGTAAGTGGTCTAACTCTTCTCCAGGCTGAAGAGGACTTTTAGATCATGGTGTGGAAGCCAGGGATCCATATCACTTTACAAAAAACTGACCTGTGCCACAGTTTGCCAGTCAGTAGCATCATCCTCACTTGGATGGATTCCTTGATTCCATCTCCTCTGAACAACATAGATCACAGGCTCAATGGAAATATTGAATTTTGAAGACCACTTCACCTCCAGGTCTCCAGACTGAAGTTCTACAAATTTTAATTCTTTCCGGGGTTTCAGTGGAACACCTGTAATAGAAATGTGCAGACAAAAATATGTGAACAATTTACAAGATGTGATTAAACCATATATCAATGAATCTGTATTAAAAAAAAATATTTTTTTTTTAAAAAAAGGAGATGGTCATACAAAAGATAAAAAAGGGGTGAATGGATAGGCTGAATAATCATGGGAGTTTCAGAAGTGCTGATAGCTATCTATTTATGCCAAAAGTAATGCATGTAATTAAAAAGCATCAAAATTATTTATTTCATTTAAAAACTAAAGGATCTGAAAATGTAAGCTAAAACTGATCTAATAGAAAGCACTTTCCAAATATGCTTTGATAACCTGGACAAAGAATCTTTTGATCCCAAGCAGAATCAGCTGTATCTGGGTGGTTTTTTTTCCACCTAATTTGTCCTTAAATACATCTAATGACAGAATTTCCTCAGCATCACATTCCGATCCATTCTACTACTTTGTTATTATTACCATTAGAAAGCTTTCCAACTACTTTGTTTAGTCTCCTTCACTGCATCTTAAAATCAATACTTGTCCATGATGTTCATGGATCGTGAAGAATGAATTCTTTCTTTCATCTATGGAGGAGCCCCTTATCCACCGCAAGGCTGTTATCAAGCCTCAAACGTTTTCTTCTTCAGTCTAACATACACAGTGTGCTCCATTGTCCCTTTAAATCAGTGTTTCTGGACTGAAGATCATTCTTGAAGTTATATCTGGAAAATCTCCCATTCGCCCACAGTCATTCTCCAGAGTCAAGCCTAAAACTGGACACAGGCTGTGTCTAAGCTCTTACCAGTGTAGACTAGAGAAGCAGGATTATTTCACACATCTCACATTAGTCTGATAGAGTTAAGACAGCTGCTTGTCTTCACCATGGCAGCATGATCTTACTGACTCACATGCAGCTGTATTGTATGATGTGTCACTTTCCATTCTTCCCTAAAGATCTAGGAAATATAATTCCAAGGCATCTTGGAATAGATATTCTATATCTAATGTGTATTGTTCGACTGTTACGTTTCAGAGACAAAGATGTCATTCTAAAATTTTTCCAGTAATTTCTCATTACACAGTAACACTGAAGGACAGTTATTTCTGTTGTTTCTTCAAATTTGGCATCTTTTGATTAAATCAACAAATCAGATCTTAGCTTAATTTCTCTAGATAGACTTCAGGAACTTAAATATTTGAGTGTGCAGAATTTTGTCACTTCAGGATAAGTTACAAGTAAGGTTTCTATGCTGACATATAAACCTTTCTAGCAAGTTGTCATAAGTACTTCAGCTATTTTGTAATTTCAGTGGGTGACCACATAAGTCCAGCTGTATGCGTTGGTTCGATAAACTGTTTCCTACTCAATCTGTCACAGATGACTGAGTACCAAAATTTCCTGAGGTGAACAAACCACTTTTATATTTTAAGATATCTTCTCCTAGATCTGATTATATAATTAGCTGCAAGTAAAAAAGAATAATTGATATTGTAGCCCTTGAAAAAACCTAAAATCAACCTGAGGAAAATCCAGTACTTAAATCTGGTAATCACAGCAGTTTAAAACCTGGATATCCTTCAACAGCCAGCAGTCTTAGTCTAATACAACGAACATCACAGAACATGTCAGTGCGGATTTCCACATTTGAAAATCCTTCTTTAATTATGATGTACAATAATCCTACAATTTGCATGTTAAGAAAACTTCCATCTGCTTTGCATTAGGGGCAGTTGGATTCACTTGATTGCAAGTATCTCAGCCTCTCCGCTGTTACGTAATTGTGTGCAGATGGAGCACAGCAGAACAAACAGCGGGAGCACAACACAAGTGCATCTCAAAATACTTTTGTAGAAACAGCACCATCAATTTCATATCCAGATGTGTAGATCCGATCACTCTTCAATGTGCTTTTTATTATGTAAATGGTCAGCCCTTTCATCATGCTGGAACAAATTAGTCCTCTGAAGTCTGCAGAGCTTAACTGAAGAATTCAAATCACTGATTGCTGTATGTGTGCAATACCAGAGCCCAGGAAAAATGTTTCTAAAGGTGTCTTTCAGATAGCACGTGCATCTCTATGCCAAGAAAAATAAATGCACACTGGTCCATCATAAGAATCTGTATCTCAAACACTGGACTAAAACATTTCCATTGAAGGGTTTTGGACAGTAAAGGGTACATTTATGGCATCAGTATAATTATAAACACAGTTGTTCAAAGACCCAAGAGGTGCACACCTTTAAAACTGTACACCATTTTTTAATACAAAATCCATTTTCTTTAAGCATGAAAATAGTCTTTAAACTGGGGATGACCATCTGGCTCCAGCTAGCCTATCATGATATTGTCATACTGTCACATCCTTTAAATACCATAATCTTCTATTCACAGTTTACCTTGCCCAGATTTGCAGTTTGGTTTGCTGTATGGATTGCTCCCTTACATATTTCAGACAAAACTAGTTAGGCTGGTTTAGACAGCATGATCCCTAAATCTTTGTTAAAAAGGGGTCCTCGAAAGTTCACACAGGTAGGTGTATCTTCATATCTGAGAGACCACTAACTTCTGAACAGGAAAGAGATGATAGGTAATGTCCTTGTCCTTACTTGGGGATGCATATGCGCACATTAGACAAAGTGAACCTGATCAAGCATTTTCCATCCTTTCGGTTTTTTTTCTATACTTTTAAACTGTTTTACTTCTAAGTAGAGATATTGCCCTTATTTCTATCTCTGAAGTACCAAATCTACTTTAGGCACTTGCTGTTATTTATAGCATCATTATGTCCATACAGAAAAAAAAAGGAGAGGTAGGCTATGAAGAAGGGACACTTTCTGAAGTCCTTCTCTAGTTGAGACAATGCAGAGGAGGTGGATAAGGCTGATGAAAGAATAGTAAGAGAGAACATTTGATGTCCCCAGTAAAGGGAAACAAAAATGTGAAGACTATGTAACAGTTTAGTAATACTCAACAGAGATGAAAAAATGCAATGATAATGGACAGTTTGAAGATTATAACAACATTTGCAATACATGAGTATGGCACAAGTGTACTTACATTAATATTCTTTTAGGATTGGGCTTTAGCACTTAGTACTAGAGGGCAAATCCAGTTTGTAAATGCAGCAAATCAGATGGGTATTTTATATCTGCTGTTGCAACTAATCTCTACAGCTTGGTCAACAGTGAAACTGTAGGAAATTCTGTAGACTCTCAGATTCAATCTGAGTTCATTGTCTAGCTGTGAGTGCTGTCAAAATGATGAGAATTAGTACTAAACTTATTCACTACATCTTAGTCATGCTTGCAGAGTTTGCTCTTCCTTAGTGACAGGAAGGTCATTTAACCCTGGAAAAAATAAATAGCAAGCCTGTTCCGCTTCTATTTGTCCTTTGTTGCAGAAAGACAGGTTGAGGAGTCTAATTAGCTGAATTCATCAGCTGAGAAGGCAGTACTGTATTGGGCTTGCCCTTCCTCTGCAAGTCATACACACTCTTGCAAGCAAGCACCTCCTGCAGGTAGGTGATAAGATGTTAGAGGTTAGTTCTGTTAGTTCCCATAGAATTAGGCTGAACAGCAGTAGGGTTTCCAGTGTGCAGTTATACAATGTATCATAACCTACCATGTCCTGTGCCCTCTCCAAAAGCATGTCATCTTACTTAATTTGCTTGTTTGTTTGCTTGTTTTGTTTTTACCTTTTCCAGCAATTACATTTACTGGAATGCTTTGTACTTTTGAAATGGAGCCTGATCACGTAAATCATTACATCTGCAATGCAAATGCCAATTTATCACTCTGTTCATTTTTCTCACAAAGGCACAAGAAATAACTAAGTTATCTATAATTTTAATTTTGAAAGGTGCTGTGTATAAGAGTGTATTAATTCCTTACAGTTTTAAAGGGACTGTTCTGAAGTATCTTGGAAGCAAGATAATTTCCCTTCTGCACTGGAAATCTGGATAACAGCATTCCCTGCTGTTCAAAATACTTTGAGTACTATCTTCATCAATTTTATGCTTACTCAACCTCTATGACTTCTAGAACAAATTTTCTCCATTTATGTAAGTAAATAAGACAGTGCTTCCTGATGGCCTATTCTGTACACTCAAAGACAGGATTCAAAAGTCATTATTTCTGTCATACATTCTCATCACTAGGAACATTCAAAAAGATGCACCAACATTTCAGTTAAAGCTTAAAAATAAAATCAACATCTCCTTCATATATTTTACCATTTTTCCATCTACAGATGGAAATAAGTGTGGATTCAGACCTAAGCCTGAAGCTTAGTTCAGAGTTATTCAGAATAATAATTGATTAATATCTATTTTTTATCACTGAAGTAAGGAGAATGGATTTCTAACTAAACATTCTAACTCTGCAGAACAAGAAAATACTTTTCATAAATGCTCATTGTTCTGTGTTAGGAGCACATTTTCAGAATATTTCCACGTATTAAGCTTTTTTTAATTCCAACAAATTAAAATCTGGAGCTTGTGTAAGCAATTAATTTCTTAGTCTATATGTTCTTGCCAATGGATGTCAGGGAAGCTCACTTTTTTTTCACAGAATCTCAGGACTCAAATAAATTATTTTTTATGAGATTGCCTTAGATTTAATTAATGAATTAATACATAAGTATGAATACTATAATTTTTCACTATTTTGTTCTTAGGTCATTAAGAACATCAATGCCAAATACACTGCATTGATTTGCTCTTTTACCAGATGATATCACACTTCCTGTTTGGTACTCCTACCTGCTTGGCTCATAAAATTAAATGTTGTTTGTGATTAACAGGACCTGAACTATTTATCATTAAATATTTTTCTGCTGCATTTTCTCTCATCTGCATCAAATTAAGTGAGATTTCACCTAAATTGGCAATTTTGTTCTGCTTAAGATGATTCATAATAGCCATATGTTTACATTCCACAGATTTCCAGACAAAGGCTTTACAAGGGGAAAAAAAATCAGAAACTTGAGCAACATTATTTTCTGGCTTTCCACTCTTTCAGCGTCCAGCTGCATCTCCACAGATGCCTCTCCTTTTTCTTGCCATCCATAAAAACTCCTATGAAAATAAAGTCCTATTTTTTTTAGAAGACTGTATTATGGTCTGAAGTCATTAGCCCAGTATGAGTACATATAAATAATCTCTACCTTTGTACAGATTTTTTGGAACTTGGCACGTATGACCGCATCCATTGGAACAGCATTTCTTCACTCCAGAACATTCACTATCAGCTTCACAGCTCTCAACACAGGCAGCTGCAAAACCACTGGCCTTCTCAGGTGCTGGGCAGTCCCCTTGCTTCACAGAAAGGATGTACTTAAGGAATTCACAGCTAGTTAGGCATTCATAATTCTTCTTGGGAAAAAGAGGCTAAAGGGAAAACAAAAGAATCAGATAAAGTATTCAACAGGAACAAACAAAAAAAAAAAAGTTGTATGTTTTCCAAGACCTCCTAAAGGAAAATTCAGATTTTCAGCTTTTGCAAGACTATCCCTGAAGATTTATATATGCAAGCCACTTCTAAAAAAAGCATTCCAAGTACAAAATGTTGAATTCTCTCAAGTAAGACCACCATCTTTAATGGAATAAAGTTGTTTATATCTGCCAGCTTTCCCTTGTTTTCCTCACATTGGCTGGCTACAAAGTTGCTCAATGACAGATTAAAAATATTCCCAAAACAAAGGGGAAGCAATGGCCAGACAGTCTTTTTTTTTTTTTATTTTGGACTACCCCACATTCCTCCCTTTGTACTTCATAACACTTTACCCATAATGTCTGATGTAATGCCATTCTAGACAAGTAAGTGAAATCTTGTTTCATTATACTGTTTGAACTGAGTGGGCTAAGAGAAGATTTTGCAGCATCTTTATGTTCTTGCCAGCATGTTAGTAACTGTGTAACTATTCATGGACCCAGAACTAAATTTCTGATAAAATGATCAACGGAATATTCAGATTAAAATAAACCTTAAATATATTGATTAAATATCAAAGTAAATGCTATTTCTTTGAGAAATCAGGTCCTAGGTATATGAGAGGTTGTTTCAATGCATAGACATTTTAAAGCATGCGTACTACTCAGAGGTTTGCAAGCTTCACTTAAAACCATATTAAAAATAGCATCTAGCACCGTGGGGAGAACATTATGTGTGACAGGGGGATTTCGCCCCTTCTTTTATCTAGTGTTTTATTTAGTTTGGTGCAAAAACAGCTAAAGTGATTCCCTCCAAGTGACTGGTGGAACTGTAGATGGGTAACCCATGTAACTGGGGTTATCTATTGACTGTTTTTCTATTTCAGAGCAACCAAAAATCTTCCACTCTTGACAGATCTGGTTTACAAATTCCTAAGCCTACACAGGCACTATAACCCACTCTCCATCCAACCATTCATGTAACTTGTACAACTTCCTTCCATATTCAAAAGTTTTACTTTCTTATTTTTACTGTTCTCACTTGTCTGGAAAAATGAAAAAGACTTCACTATTATGGAGACCCAGGTGTTTCACAGACTGTGTGTCAGTTTATTCTCCAAAGTCACTGTGGTCCAAGAATGGGACACTATATGAACTCATCCATCTTGTCCTACAGAACAGTGCAGAATTTTTGAATCAGGCTTTTAAGGATGCATTTGGGTGTTATGGCTTAACCAGCCTAAAGGCTGCCAAAATGAGCAGTGTTTGTATCTCCCACTGACTCTAGTGATTCTTGGACGTGCACTCCTGTTGTTTCCCCCATTGGAATGCACCTGATCCGATGGTTAGCCAGTTATTGTGGAAAAAATGAATCAGGTAAACTGTCTCCTTTTCTTCTTCATACATAAGGTTCCTTTAACATTAGTACACTTATTCAGTAGATAAGAAGTAACATACCAAGCAGGGACCTTGAGAAAAACAAAGCTAAATTGTTGCTTCCAGATTTTTCACAAAATGCAAAAAAGATTGAAAACACTCTCAAAGGAAAACAGCCTCATTTAGTTCAATAAATGTCAACGCAGCATACACTAGTCTGAGAGAAAGGAAAGTGGTCCTGTGCTTTTGTGCGCGCACGCGCGCGTGTGTGTGTGTGTGTGTGTGTGTGTGTGTGGCTAATTTCAAATCCTAAAACATCACAAATTTGCAGCTACTTAATTAAAAACTTTATAGTTCCCTGAGGCATAATACATCCACAAGGCTTCTCCTCCTCACCCTATTTCACAGCTCATTTTTCAGTTAGCTGCTAAATGTGCTGCTCTTCATTATGGGCCTTTGAAGTTCCTAATTTAGCTTCAACCACAAAATACTAATCAAAGAGGGATACTCACTGTTTTTAACTACACTACAACAGTGCTCTATGATTTTTTTTTCTTTGAAACCAATTTTATAAGTATTTTCACCCATATCTGGAAACATACAGCCTGACTGAGAAGTGATATATGAGAATGACGTAAATTATATCCACTAAAACTGCCTTATTGCACTACCCTATAGTTTTGTATATGAGGAAGCAGCAACTAATCTAGGTTAAAGAACAATTACAAGGATTGGTTTTCATAAGAAATTTTTATTTTGTCTTCTAATATAACTACATAGAGAAGTAATCCAGTAATCCCTATTTACTAGATCTAAACTTTATTTTTAGCTGAAATTACAGCTTTTCCTAATCATCTTCATGTTACTTAAAATAATTTAAGCATAAGACATGCTCTTGTACACAGAGTGCCTACAGTGATGAGGGAGTACTTAAATCTATATATCCGTAAAATAAATATATCAGTTAAGGTCACTTCTATTTCTTTATTGGAAAAGCTGAAAATCTTCATAAACATATACTTTCACAGACTTGAACAAAGTTTTATCTTTATATTGATTTAGTTATAACAAAGCAACTTTCTATTGAGATAATATGTCCATTTTATACTAAAAATCACTTAAGAACTGTAACAGCTGACTTCCACCAACTCAGCAAAGCCACATTTTAAATCCTATAAAACCATCTCCTTATTTGTACTAGTTTAACTGATCTGGGTTTGCGTATTCACAAGGTCTTTTTGAAACATGATTCCGAAACAGTTTTCCAAATACTTGTGCTTCAATAATTTTGTATTTTGGTAGTAGTCTTCTGAGCTGAGAGTACATGATACAGTTAGCCCTGGAAAGATATTCTTTTAGAAATCAGATTGACTTTCACATATAAGAAATCCGTCTTTTCTAGCTACCCTGCACAAGGATTTTCACACAATGACATTTAGTCTCTTAAACAAAGATACACTTTCTTACATATGGCCATAAAAGATAGGAAGACATGTGGTAGAAACGGTAGCATCTTAAAGGAGGGATTTAATAGCACTTTCCGAGGGAAGCTATGAAAGTGTGGCTGCATCAAGTGTTAAAACTTCAAGCTGAGATAAATCATTTGGTGAGAAAAAGAAAAACATCTTTCTTTTTAAACTCAGACTCAATATGGCTAAATTGTTATATTGTGTATCCTTTGAAATGAAGGAAAGTATTGTTAGCACGTTTGTTAGCTGTCTCCTTGAAGCTAATAATTTATATGAAAGAGACAGCTAGAACAAAGTGAGAAAGAGCGCCCTTGGGCTGACGTACCTCACAGAAGCTTTGGCAATGGTTTTTCTTCAGGTCCCAGGACTCTTTGCAGGGCTCCAGGCACTAGGAGGAATGAGGAGGAAGAGAAGTGTCAGGAAGAGAAAGAAATAAACAACCACAAATGACCCCATTTCTTCTCCAGTCATTTTTTTGGCCCATAGGAAGTTAATAATAGGCTTTAAAAATCCACTTCTCTTGAGGATAACATTGTGTCATCGAGTCATGATGTCAGAGCAAGGTCAGGCCACCCCATGGTTAGATTACAAGAAATATTTTCAGTATTTCTTACTGTACAAGGCAATTGCCTCACTTGTTTATATGACATTCTGTTTTCTGCCCTATTGAGTATGGGTCCTAATACCATTTAACACCATGTCACTGGATCACAGAGACAATGTCAAAAGCACTACTCTAAACTACAGAAAGTTTAATCTTCCCCTTGCTGGCCAGCCTAAAGATTAGATGGGCACATTGCCTTCCCAAGCGAGAGACTACTTAATCAAGCTATGCAGTAAACTCAGCAGAGGTTTAACCACTGTTTCTGTATAAATAATGTTCACTGGTCTGTTAGCAAAACAACTTTATTTCAAGTACCATATTATCATTTCTTCACCTTTAACCTCTTACACAGAAAGTTGAGACTCAAACTCTGCCAACCAGACTCAAGCTTCACAGCATAGCATAAAGAAAAGTCACACTATTAAGAGCATTTACTGCATCTGAAACATAAATTTAAACTCATATTCAGAAACCTTTTCTCTTCCTTTGTTAGACATATGATCTTGGAAAACACTGGAATTGTTGGTAGTTAATAATACCTACTCCTTCTGGTAACAGTGGAAAGAACCAAAAAAAGAAAGGCCTTTGACATGCAATTTAGTATTTATATAATTTGTTTCTCTTATACATAGTATTAGATTGGATCCATATACATTTATGCTATTCAAAACCAAGCATGACTGCATATAGGCTGTATCTCAGCTGTTCAACTGTATTATTAATGTACTAAAAAAGAATAGTGTTTTAAAAGTTAAGCATTTTTCATACTAGCAACAAAGCCTGAAAAATATAATAAAACAATTAGTCACAGAGGTTATGTATTTCAGAAATGAAAAACACCACCCAAACATTTTTCTCTCTCTATATTTCGATGTTTTATACTCAACTTCTGGCTTTCAAAATTCACAGTGGGCTTGCTGTATACAGAGTAATGAGAAGGTTACACTATAAAATGTCACTGAAGTAAGTAAGTTTAATTTATTTCAGAGTGTTGTTCCTCCTGTGGTATAGTTACTGCACATCTGAGCCCAGTTCCACTGTCATGCCAGTTTTACAACTCTCCTAAATGTCTCATGGATTTAACCCCAAATTACAGAGGTATAAATGGTGTAAAGACAAAATGCTGAACATTTTGACTACACTGGGATTTTGTCAGTGATTCCCAAGGCTGTCAGGATTTCCATAATCCTTACACTCTCTGAATTTTTGCTTCACTGCTGCACAGCCACACAGAGCACATCTAAACCACCATATCCACACGTTGAGATGACAACTAGAACCAAGTTCATGCTGACTGAACAACCTTCCTCGCAGGCTATAGAGCAAACCAGTTGGTACTCCTGGAAGGAAATATCAAGATGCTGTATGCTTCAGAAGGTTTGTTCAAGGCAATTGTAACAAGATGTCTTTACTTGCAAAGTAGACTCAGCACTTGATGCTTTGTCTGGCTCTCGCTCTGTCTCAATAATCGCTCAAGACAGCACAGGCAAACTTCAGGCCTGCCCCATCAGGGCTGGCAGAGATGATAGGCACTTCAACTCAAACACTTTAAAGGTAAGATAAACCAGGGCTGAGCAGTATCCTGCAATCCAACTGCTCTCAGAATTCTCCAAGGCAAACAGTTGATGTAGCAAGTAATAAGGCCTCCACTGTAAGCTTCATAGGTTCTGATTAGAGTACATGCTCTTATAAACATATATAATACATAAACAAAAACATCTTCCTACTCCTACTGTTTGAGGAGTCCTCAGAGCATCAAGCACAGCCTGGCACCATGGGCTGCTGGAGAATCTGACTGCCTATCTTGAGTGGAGCTGTACCATTCTGTAGGTTATTGAAGAACTGCTAGCAGACAGAAAAGTTGCCAATAACTTTGCACTGGAAGAGTCTGGGACTGTCCTTCTCAAAAGGAAGTTATTAAACTTGGAATAACGAAGATGAGAACACCTCACAAACACTGAGGTTTATGCATTTATCTGTTATGAGGTTCCCCTAAAGTGGGAAGCTGGAAAAGCTGGAAGCTTGGGTACAGGTCTCACCTTTGAGTCCTTGACTTATCACAGAATCACAGAATCTAAGCAGTTGGAAGGGACATCAAAACATCATCTAGTCCAACCCCCTTGCCAGAGCAGGATCACCTACACTAGGTCACACAGGAACGCGTCCAGGCGGGTTTTGAATGTCTCCAGAGAAGGAGACTCCACAACCTCTCTGGGCAGCCTGTTTCAGTGCTCTGTAACGCTCACAGTGAAAAAGTTTTTCCTCATGTTCACATAGAACCTCCTATGCTTCAGCTTGCACCCACTGCCCCTTGTCCTGTCATTGGACATCAGAGAAAAGAGCCTGGCTCCTTCCTCCTGACACTCGCCCTTTACAAATTCATAAACATTAATGAGGTCACCCCTCAGTCTCCTCTTCTCCAAGATAAAGAGACCCAGCTCCCTCAGCCGCTCCTCATAAGGGAGATGCTCCACTCCCTCGATCATCCTTGTGGCCCTGTGCTGGACTCTTTCAAGCAATTCCCTGTCCTTCTTGAACTGAGAGGCCCAGAATTGAACACAATATTCCAAATGAGGTCTCACCAGGGCAGAGTAGAGGGGAAGGAGAACCTCTCTTGACCTACTCACCACACCCCTTCTGATACACCCCAGGATGTCTTTGGCCTTCTTGACTGCAAGGGCACAGTGCTGGCTCACGGTCATCCTGCTGTCCACCAACACCCCCAGGTCCTTTTCTGCCTGGCAGCTTTCCAGCCACTCGTCCCCCAGCCTGTAGTGCTGCATGGGAAAGTGCAGGACCCGGCACTTGGCCTTATCGAAGCTCATACAGTTG